ACAACCTTGCAGTTCTCCCAAGGTGACTGAATCCTATTTGAATCCTGAAAAGAACAAAGCAGAAAATTCTTCTACACTTGGTAAATAATTAATAAGGAGATGCTAATTATAAAACCAAGGCAAATTAGTTGAGAGTTTACACGAGAGGAAAATCATGTTACAAATGGTAATATAGACAGCAAACTCAAATATAATTCATTCCCCATCTAAATGGTCTTTTTCTTGTTTGATGCTTATGGATCAAAATGATTTTTAACATCAAGATTAGGTTGTTCCAGAGCCTTCTAATTGATGACAGTAAAAAATAATGGAAATATACTGAACAGATGCATGATCCATATGCTACAAAAGGCCAGTACACTGCAATGTACGAACCTCTGAACAATGTGCCCTCTTCACTTTTCTCATATGAATGATGGCATCAGTCCAGAGTCAGCATGACTGGCTAATGGCTACTATCAACTTTTACGTACAACTAATGCATACTACTTCAAAGCTTTCTACAAGCATACATCTTTGATTATTCATGGTCACTTTAGCATCATGAAAGAGTCAGTTTCATAGCCGCTAATGACCAGATTTTAAATCCCTCCCTGGCTTTGCTTTGCCACCCACCATCCACCCAGCAGCCCCTGCAAAGCCCAGGCCACCACACAGATGAGGAGGCTCCGCTCACCCATGTTGGTACAGCTGCCTCTTCTCCAGCCTCAAACCAGCAGAAGCAACAGCTGGAGAGACTGAGGCTTTGTCTGGCTCAGTAGGCCAGAAGTGCTGGGAAACTGATATTTGTCAGTCTGCAGTGTCCAGCTACGAGGTCACGATGGGACGTCACTGGCTGCCACTGAGTCATGACACTCAATAATAGAGAAACCATGTTATGCTTTTATGGGTTGTAATAGTCCCCTGTTGGACGGTCAAGGTAGAAGAGTGGGTTACAGTTTGTTTCCAAGATGAAGTGTCACTTTGTTAATGGAATTATGGTTTGGCTTCTTGGAGTACAAGTGCAAATCTGGAAAAGTAGACAAGACGAGGTCGATTTGGGAGACTGTTTAAGTGTACAAAACGAGAGACTGTGTCCTGTTAAACCATTATGTGAGGTATGATCTGTACAATATCCAAGAAAGATGTTGGATTTGTCTCCATTTTTAACGACTGAAGATAAGTTTGAGAAAAGGGTGCTCCAAATTTCAAACTTAATATTCAGTTCTGAAATTGATATGGTTTTATATTTATATAGATATACATATACATACATAATAAGGAATGAGCATGTCAGTGAACAACAGTACAAGGTATAAACAGTTAGCAAGAATGCTAATACCTTCACGACACATGCAGGTAACATAAAAAGAAGTTTGAAAATCGACAATATGTAGATATAATTGTATAAAATATAAGTGGAAAATGAGGAGGTGAAAAAAACAATGATGCCCAAATCACCAGTTTATTTCAGTATGTGACACACTCTAAGCAGAGAGTCTTTGCCACACATCACACCCTAGACTCTTCCCAGTTTCCATCTCTGTCAACTGTAATAAATAATAATAATAACAATAATAACAATAACAATAATAATAATAATAATAATAATAATAATAATAATAATAATAATAATAATAATAATAATAATAATAATAATAATAATAATAACAAAAAGCAAAAACTATTATTGCAACAGAACCAGATCAGTTTAAGCCAAGAGAAGTCTGAAAGTACGATTACACATGTAGGAGAAGAATGGTTGACGAAGAGTGTGCCATTTAAGTGTGAACTCAACTTCATGACTGACAACAAGGTCATAGTCCAACAATAAACAATATAACATACCGAGTGTTTCTGTCAACAAGATTCTGATTAAATAATTAAAACAAGGATTGGCTGCTCTGTGGACACCACGGTTATCACTACCAGTATGATCATTATCAATATCCTCAAAACACCACCAGCCTGTAGTGTCTCTCTCTCTCTCTCTCTCTCTCTCTCTCTCCACTCCCCTCTCTCTGTCTCTCCCTCTCCTCCCTCCCTCCCTCCTGCTGTCACCTCTCACAGAGCCTGGCAGCATCAAGCCAGCTTGCATTTTAATTTGGCCCTGAAGTTACTTATTTCATTATCGATCATCCGTAATGCTGAATCAATGTTCATCTTGTTACGTGGGCCATACCCGTGTAATACAGTGATAGTGGGGCCCAGAGTTACTCATTCCCTTTACAAAGTGACTTTACCGTAAAATCAATGCCTTGTGTTACTGATACAGGGGAAACTGCAGCAGATGGAGGGAGAGTGAGTGGGCAGAGAGGAAACAAAAAAAAAAGAGAGAAAAGAAAAAACACAAACAGCTCACCTTCAATGCAGGGCTGTTGACAGCACTCAGAGCATTACAAATCTCCACAGTATGTGGCATTACTTCCTGTAACATGATACAAATATGAATGATGTACAATGCGGCAACATTTAGATATTATGATGAAAGCTGTTGGATTTTCAGTGTGGGGTATGGATAACCTGTGCCATTTAGTGTGGGAAAATGTAGCCTTTGCATTTGAGACATTTCACACTCTCTGCATCATCCTGGACTGGAGCAATAAAAAAAATATAATGCAGAAAAAATAGGACAAAGTTGCGTTAACTGTCCTCCAGATAAAAAAAGAAAACACCATCAGATATTTGTTAAAGGCGACTAAAAACAAAGGTAGACCATATGATACATTCACATGAAAACATAGGTTATATTTCTACCCTAAAGGCATAAGACAACGGCTAACTCTGGCCTTTTTATGAAGTTTGAAAACACAACCAGACTGAATCAAAGTAAAAAAACTTTTGTCTTTCTGTGAATTTTGACATAAGTTTTATTTTTACCATTTTTGTTTTCCATTGCTAATTCAGTTATATACATGTTTTATATTTTAAAGGCATGAAAATCTTTACTTCACAGTATATAATATCCTACAGAGACATTTAAAAAGTTTACACCAGTAAATTAGATAAAGGAATAAAACAACATACTCTTATTCTGACTAAACACGGCAAAAAATAAAGTCTTTGAGTCTTGCAGGTATGATGTGACGGATATAAAAGGCCTTTAACTCCTAAAGTAAAGGGCATCGTCATTATCTGTTGTAGGCCTGTAGAGAGACAGTACTTGAGTGAATGCATCACTGCACATTTAACAAAACTCTTAAACTGCTCTGTTTAAGGACTAGAATCTAAAATGGATCTCCCATTCCATCTCTGTACCGACCCTGAAAGACTGACTGTTCAAACTCAGTCATAGACGACAACCTGAAGTTAACAAGTTAATGTAAAACATTTGCAAGGTAGTGCTTTTAATTCATGCTTTGATCCGCTGTCATAACCCAGCTTAATAAGTTGCAGTCCATTGACTATTAATTTGTTTCCAAATGGTGTGAGCAGGAGGAACGGCTCTGAAATGTTTGACTTTGCCACTAATGCAAATCAAAGTTAGGCTATCTATTTAATATGCATGATTGGTTGGTGTAATGTAATTAAAATTATACCATTTAAATTATCCCAACAGTGAAAAAATTAAACTTTAAATGTATTTTCAAAGTACACTTGCTTCTGCTGCTAAGAACAATTAATTTCAGAAAGTAATTCATTTATTGGATTAAGCCTCACTGTTCTTTAAACACAGCAAGATTTATTGGACCTTTATTTCACCCTAATGGGACATGAGTTTGGAGAGGCATATTTGAAGATTGAATGTGTTTCACTGTTGTGTTTTTTTAGGTTGCCTACAAATTTAAGTTTGAACCCGCAGAGACATTTCTGATTAACAACCATAACTTTTATATTCCAGATAGCTTAAAAAAAGGGGGAGCTTTGCAATAAGATCTTATAATAATAGCAGAACTTTCACTTCTGTCAATTCCCTATTCTGACAGATGTCAAATATATTGCTGCTTTTATATTTGGCTCAAACTGACAGGTAGCTTTCCTTGATGCATTGAAAAAGCTGTAAATCACTCTAATGCACTATTTCAGATGGATGTTTGGAGCAGCAGTCTTTGTTTATTGAGCAGAAGATGCAAAAACGTCGCGAGATCCTGTTTTTTAGTGAATGTCCCCGAGAAAAAAAAATAAGAGCTGGTTTGTTAACTAAGTCAACAAATCTCAATTCTCCCCTTCACTGAATATCTCTCATCCTCTCCCTCTTCTTTGCACTCTTCAAACTAAATCAACAAGCAATCAGGGGTCATTAATTGCGTTTTCTTTTTAAATCCTCATTCATCTCCATAATTAAACGATGTTGATCAGCAAGAGCTCCCTTACAATTGATTCCACGTGTGATAAGAGACGTGTTTTTTTTTCTCCTCTCTCCTTTTTTCTGTCACCGGAGCGTTATGGAAAAGATCCAAATGTGTAATTTGAAGTGCCTCTGTTTGAAGCCTTTGATCTCGCGTGTTTTGAGCAGCCTCGGTTCATCATTTGCGACGTGTCGCTGGTGCCCTGTGTATTGCATAAGGAACTAGTGTTGAGCGATAGGCCGTGTATGTTTGCTTATGAGAATGTGAAATTGTGTCATCTGCATAATTACCGTCAAAGAGCTCTCTACTAAACAGCCCTCAAGTCACTGGTGTGTGATTGCCCTCTTTTTACGGCACCTACAAATTAAGATGCGCGCCCCGGATCCAGTCATGAGAAATTAACAATCAAAAACTCAATTTAAGAGTGTTTTTTAATATAATTTGATAACAATAATGATAGGATAATAAGATGAATAAAAGGATTGTGTTTGGTCCACGGTACAGCTGTTGTTTGTGGTGTTTAAATGTGGCCTTTTTCCTTCGTGTGTGCGTGTGTACGGAAGTCAAGCAGAGGTTAGTTTACTGTTTACTGAGACTCTCTTTGGGAGAGAGCGCGAGGGGAGCGACGTCTTAATGTTTTTATGGCCACGCCAGTTTCCCGGGTCGGTGTGAAAGTGTTAAGTTAGTGCGTGGCGCGTTTGATTGGAGGCAATAAATCAGACGCAGACGTTGGCGTGGGTGGAGTAGAGAGGGGAGGGAGGGAAGAAGGGGTCGTCCGAGCGACAGGGCCCCGGAGATGAGACACGTGTCCATCCGGACTCGGAGCGCTGCTTAGCGGACACTGGCAGGCGAACACCCCGCTGGACCCGGAGATTTATACTCTGACTTCTAACGTTTATCACGGCCCGGCCACGTTGTCTCTCCCTCTTTTTTTCCCTCTCTCTCTCTCTTTCTCACATTCTCTCCCCCCTTTCTCTCCCTCTTCTGTCTACAATATGATGTTTGTTTTTTTTCTTTCTTTAACTTCTTTTTTCCCTCTTTAAACTCACTATGCAGCTGTGTATCTAAATGTCAAATACCATCCACTTATCTTTAACCACCCTTCACTTCACTGTCTGGACCCCCTCAATTTACACGTCGATCTTATGAGTGTGTGCGCGCGCATGAGTGTGTGTGTGTGTGTCTGTGTGTGTGTGGTAAGTGTGAGTGTGCTATTGACTGCTATGTAGTGATTACCATTCCGGTCGGATGGCACCAGCAAGCCGCTGTAATTAATAACCCCATAATCCGGGTTGGGGTGGAAGTCGACGCAGAACACACACACGCACACACACACATATACACACACATAGACTACAACACACATTCAGGACAGAGTTTTACAGAAACAAGGCGTCTCCGTATGGGTAGCTCTCCATATGAGAAATTATAGCTGCTATTATCCCTCCCAGACAATGATAACTATCTGCTTCCAAAGAAGATTAAAGGTTTATACAAGTTCAGGATTCTTGGAAACGCAGATCGCATTATCAAAACTAAACTCAGATTGATGAGATTTCATCCCGCTGTCAATAATACATTCAGCTTATATCATACTCGAATAAAGTGCGTGAATAATAAATCTACCTCTGCTGGTTGTTTTGCAAACGATTAACAAAACAGATGCTGGTAGAAAATAAGGTTGAAATGCGATTATTACTGTCTCGTACACACTTTGATATTGATTCTTGGAATTTCAATTTTAACTCACTTGTTTGGTTTTAATCCGCATTATTTACATGAAACATCAGGTTGTAATAATCAAAATTGTCAAATTGATTTTTTTAAAGTGGAGTTTGACCGGATGATCGCTTTGTTGTTGGTGGATTAGGAACCTTTTATTAAAAAAATCACAGTTATTTGTTGACTTAAGCAATTTGTTTATGTGCGCAACATTAAATTAATGATTATTATTTTTAAATTGTATAATTTAACACATAATTGTTGCATTTCTTCATTATAAAATTGCCTTTTAATTTTTGTCATTTCTTGCTCGTGCGCATTGAGATCCGGTTGTATTTTCCAGAATCCACATCCCCTCAGCCCAATCCACTAAAGTGTTTATTAGTTCCAGTAGTTGGTGTTTTACACTTACTCTTCATTAACAGTCTAATGCGTCTATCATCAGCTCTCTCTTTGATGTCAAGTGGGTACAAGCGACCCCCTTTTGATGTCCCAAATTAATGAATGAAATGAGCCCGATTCTCCCCTGCCTACAAGAGCCCAAAACACCTCAGAGCCCGTGTGAGAAAACACAGCTTTCAGCCAAGGGATGCAGCGAGAGAGAAAAAGGTGTGTGTAAGCTGTGATCACAGGTCATTACAAGGCAAGAACCACGGGCAGCTCTGTGACACAAACACACACTTTTTCATTTGCTGTCATCTCGCGTTTGTGATTATTTTTATGTAGGATTTAGATTTTAATAAGGCTTTAGATTTTTAACACTTTATCCAAATATTTATGAAACTTTTTCTCCTTTAATAAAAAGAAGAAAACCGTCTAAAAGTAGTCTTAAACTTCATGTCATTTCTTGATTTACATTTTATTTTTCAACCCATGTGGTCGAGTGGTTTCTAAGTTTACCTCAAAGAAAAGTTATTTAACTGCGGACCTAAACAAAAAAAAGAAGTTAATCATTCACTGACATCGAAATGCTCACCAAAAATGTGAATTAACACGAAAAAATGTGGTAGGACAGACGAGAACAAATAACAAATGGAATAGATTGGCGAGCCATAAAATGAGATTTGAAATCCCATTCAAATAAGAGAGCTCGCGACGTCAGGGCACTTATCCGAGAGAGGGAGAGAGAGAGGAAAGGAGAGAGAGAGAGAGAGTGTGTGTGCATGCGAGAGAGAGAGAGAGAGAAAGAGGGAGGGAGGGAGAGAGAGGCTGTTTGGTGTGTGGTGTATATGAGAGGGGTGAGATTTGAGAAATAGGAGGGGCTTCTAAACGACTAGAAATGTCAATCTGAGCAAGGGAGTCCCAATAATCTAAAGCAATCTGTAAGGACCTGACCTTAGTCCATCCAGATCAATAGGGAAGTGAGGGTGGAAAGAAGAAGACAGAGGAAGAAATAAGGGGCGCAACCGGATCGTTTACACTGGCTGTTCCCGAGGAAATATAGACTTCCCTTGCTTGCACCTTTTGTTGCTCACATGCTCACACTGTAAAAGTGGATATCGAGGCAATTCCCTTGCTTTGTGTGATCGCAGCAGACTTTTCCCCCCTTTTTTTCCTACCACCATGTCTTTCCCTCAGCTGGGATATCAGTACATCCGACCGATATACCCGCCGGAGCGCCAAGGGATCGCCAGCAATGCCCGGTCCGGGACAGAGCTCAGTCCGTCCGGCGCGCTCTCAAACGTCCTCTCCACCATGTATGGATCTCCTTTCGCCGCAGCAGCGCAGGGCTATGGAGCGTTTCTGCCCTACTCCAACGATATCTCCATTTTCAATCAATTGGTGAGTCTCTCAGCTTTCTCTTAACTTCTCGATAAGTTTTGCATGACACTTCAAAATAAAAGAAATAACAACACAGGCCTTTGTGGCACTTTTTTGAGTCCGAACTTTAAGAGCGTTACGGCAAACTTTGGCGCTAAATGTTTGGTGAAAATGAGCGAAAGTGGTTAAAAAGTTACGCACTGAGGAGTAATATTTTAGGCTTTGGATTCCTAACAATATCCTGAAAGTGGGAGAGTTATTATAATGATGCAATGTGCTGTGGAAGGCAAACATGTAAAGGAGGGAAAAAGTTAATAAAAATTAAAGTGTATTTGTGCGTTTCTTGGTTTGGATTAGTGTTCTCTATTTTTCTCACTTTTGATATTTTAATCCAAAGTTAATAACTCGAGATTTGCTTCAAATGGGACAAAGTTTCGTTTGTTTACATTTAAAGAATATCTCTAAAGTTGCTTCCTGACATTATAACCACAAACCAAACTACAAGCTATATCACAGAGGATAATTCCAGACGAAGTATCTTGAGACATCAATATTTCTGGACTAACAAATCCCTCTGATTCTTTGTCTTTTTTAGGGTGCTCAGTATGAACTGAAAGACAGTCCCGGGGTCCAGCACCCAGGGTTTGCCCACCATCACCCTGCTTTTTACCCATATGGCCAGTATCAGTTCGGTGACCCATCCAGACCCAAAAACGCCACCAGGGAGAGCACCAGCACCCTGAAGGCCTGGCTAAGCGAGCACCGCAAGAACCCTTACCCCACCAAAGGCGAGAAGATCATGCTGGCCATCATCACCAAAATGACCCTCACCCAGGTGTCCACCTGGTTTGCCAACGCCAGGAGGAGGCTAAAGAAGGAGAACAAGATGACCTGGGCTCCTCGGAACCGCACCGACGAAGAGGGGAATGTTTACACCAGCGATCACGAGGGGGAGGAGGGCGACAAGAGAGAGGACGAGGAGGAGATCGACCTGGAGAACATCGACACGGAGAATATCGAGAACAAGGACGACTTGGACGACCAGGACGACCTGCATTCAGATCTTAAACTCGACGGGAGGAGTGACTCTGAGATTTCTGACGGCTATGAGGATTTACAAGGGCCCGACCAGAGGTTTCTAAAGGTTGTAGGGAAGGAGGGCAAGGACGTGGAGAGAGGAGGAGAGCACTTCCACAGTCACCACCATCTCCACCATCATCACCACCACGCGTCTTTGGACAGCAAAGCGTCCCAACCGAACGGGGAACCCCTCAAACTGAACCCCGTGTCCGTGAACTCACCCCCCTCAGAAAACAACCCTGCCCCGGCCCAGAAGCCAAAGATCTGGTCTTTAGCAGAGACAGCCACGGCCCCTGACAATCCGCGGAAATCACCTCAAATGAACGGCAGCAACTCCGCAGGGCCGGCCGCGCAGACCATACTCGCCCCACATAGACTCATCTCTTCTTGTCCTGTTGGGAAAATCCAGAACTGGACGAACCGAGCCTTCTCGGCGCACCAGCTGGCTTTACTGAACTCCAACCATTATCTGGGACTGGCAAACCAGGCCTCTGCAGCCGGCCTGGCCCTCTACAGCAGCAGGCAAACGGAGGACAAGAGTCATAGTTCAGAGACTGCAGTCACAGGTACATGTCCCCGACACTGAGACGCGCATGTATAAATGAGTACAGAGACAGAGACGCTACAGTCCATTGCCCGTCATTCATTTCTCTTCTTTTAGACCTCCTCTCGCCTTCTTTTGCCTGTTGAAACATGGAGTTTAGTTCTTTTTAAGGCCACAAATTAACAGTGTTACAGTGTCAGAGCTTGTCTGTGTGTGTGTGTGCGTGCGTGTGTGTGCGTGTGAGTGTGTGATGAGTGCGTCCGAGAAGACAGTGAAACCTCATCAGACAGCATTTAAAGAAAATAGAAGTCTTATGGTGAGCTGGGTGAGAAATATTTCTAATAATTGCGCCCCTTTCTTTCTTTCTGTTTCTGTTTCTCTCTTTCTTTTTATTTTTATTGTTTTGCATTTGGGATACAATAATCCTCAAACCCTCTAAATCCACTAAATTTGATCTGTGAAGGCAGGATGGGCTCTGATCAGAATTATTGCATTTTTTAATTTCGGTTTTAATTTCCATCGCCACAGTTTCAGAGAAAGATCTAGTGCCTTTGGATGCAGAGACAGAGTCGTTAAAAACAGCTCTCCACCACCTTCAAAGATAGTGAGGCTGTCAATTAATGGCATCTGGGATTTTTTTTTCTTTTTTGATGCCATATCACATTTTTTTTTTCTTTTCCAAACGCCACATTTACCCAGATTAGCTTCTTCTTCTCAGATTTGTTTCATCCCTGTGTGCGCTTGTGTTATTTCGTCAAGGCCTATGTTACACTTACTTGTTTGGTCATGCAAATGAGCTCAATGCAAATTCACTACAGGCTCGTTTTTGAAAGGCAATTGTCACTTTTATATCACTTTGTGTTTTAGCTGGAGGCTATTATTAGTGTTTTGTTTTTATTTTGTCCCTGTTTATTTCAGGCCTGAGAAACCATCTTAAAGTAGCGGTGGTCCTCTTGCCTCTCTCTCTCTCTCTCTCTCTCTCTCTCTCCTCTAAATAATCTCTCACCCATCCTCTTTTTGCCCTTTTTATTTTTTAATTTGAATATGGAATGTAAAATAAAAAATAATACATCTCTGTAAACTTACATTGTAAGCATGTCCTGTGTAAAACTGCTAATGTAATAATGTATGAACCTGTAGTCTGTGAGTTTTATTTTTATTTTCTTTTTGTAAGTTCTGTGAGGATTTGATGTTCAAATGTTTTTGTATATAAAGTTAAGAATATGTACATACTTGTGAACCAAATTGTACAAGAAAGTCTATATTTTGGCTAATAAATGAACTGCTGCAACTTTAAGAGACGCTTGGTGTTTCTGGCCGAGGTGTTTTGACAGCTGCTTTTGATGGAAGCTCTTATTGTGCATTGCTGCTTGAATTGCAATGCTTGGGTGTAAATGTGTGTGTGTGTGCGTGTGTGTTTGTGTTTGTGAGTGTGTGAAAGAGAGGGTTAGTGGACAGCCCGAGGCACAGACTTCATCCTCCGTGGCCGTGATAAGTAAATATTCGAGAGGGATTTATCACACTTTTGTAGTGGAGGGACTTAAGGCTAATTAGGCAGTATTGCGGCATACATTTGGATATTAATGTTGTGGGATTATCCGTATAGAGGCGCTGTGGTCGTGTTAAAATGAATAATTCTTTCATTAATTTTCCTCTGAAATCGTACGCTCCATAAAGAGACTTTGGCTAATAAATGACTGTGGAAGATTATCGTTTGCTCAAAAGTGGCTCAGCTGATCCTAAAGATGGATTTTGGCTTTGCTGTGAAACTCCCAGATCTCATCATGCTCGATTTGTAATGCCTTAGCGCTTCACACACATCATACATTTTCCTCAAGCAGCCCTGCTCTTTTGTGTAATTGTAATATATCGCCGCTGAATAACTAATAATAACATCATTTATTTTGTTTGCCCGTGATGTGATCATTTGCATGTGTGGGAGCTTATCAGAGGAAGTTTATGTAAACTTAGTGTTGGAGCTCCCTCTACAGTCTCCAGCAGCCGGCCATGTTCACACACACACTTACACTCACACACACATGCTGCTAATGTGCTCTTCTCCCTGTCTTAAATGCTTCATCCCTTATTTATCCATCAGTTCTGGATTAAAATTCGATAGCATCATTTTTTTCTTTTGAGTTTTTTCCTTTATGAAAATATTTAAACGCGTTTTAAAGCCTTTTAAGTTTGATTTCAATAATAAAAACGGCAGCTAATGTGTGATAACTTGATTTTAAAGCTTCCAAAAAGACAGCCAATCTAAAAAAAAAAATACTATTTTAGTTTTAAACACTCAAGATTTTAAATAAGTAAATAAAAACATTTAAAATATATTGTGAACCTTTTTGGCTCTGGGTCATTTTGATCCAAAATTAAACATTACGCAAAACAAAACGAAATTAGAAATAATATCCTAATTATTAATCCAAGTGGATTTTGTTCTCTTCCTGTCTTCATAGCAGAAGTAGAAAAATATTTCATGGTTGTCAAACCGAACTTGAGGATTACAGGACTTCACATGTACCCTTGAAAGCGCAGCAGTCGTTTCTCTGGATGAAAAAGAAATCACTTTAGATGACACATAATAGAAAAAAAAATACAATATAATATATATATATATAAAAAAAAAAGATATTAATAGTTGGAGATTAATGCCGTCAATAGTCTTATTCCTCACGTTTCACCGAAATTGTAAAAAAGAAAGAGCCTTCAAAAGACTTATAGGAGACATGGGCGTCTTAGCGATGCACATTTTTATTCATTTTTATCTTTTTAACAGCTTGAAATTTTATTGAAGTTGGAAAAAAAAAACTGAAGACAAAAATGTTTTTCGGGAGTCCAACTTCCACGTCCACAGACACCCCTCTCCTCCACACAAACAGATCCTTCTTCCTTGACTTTACGCTGTTCTCCTCCTCTTCTATAAAGCGTTTTGACTCCGTTTTGGTCATGTAGAAATTAAAGACACGTGTATTTTTGTATAGACTTCTTTTTAGACATTTGACTCACGCAGCAGAGCAGTCTGTCACACATTCCTCGACTCGACTCAGCTGGTCAGCGAGGATAAGATCTGTGAAAGTGTGCCGTGATGTAAAGCGCTGACTCTCTGGAGCCGTATTCTCTCCAGGTTTGAGGATTTGATTTAAACAAACCTCAGCTCAGCCGAGGGAAACACTGCCGAGTCTTTCTGCAGCTCCTCTCACCATGTTGCCTTCCTGTCTAATCAATTACCTTCCTTCAGAGCCCTTTCTAACCGCACGATGCATATTCATAAGTGGCACCAGCCTGCTGATTGATGTAATACTTTTCTATTTCTTCTTTCTGTGAATTAACACTCCTTTCAGAGATTAAGAAATTCAGATTAAAAGAGCAGGAGAACGCTGATGGACATGATATATATTTATAAAATCAGTATAAGGACTTCATTTGGAGCTAATCAGTTCACTAAAAAAAGTGGTTATCAGTGAATTATGTAACTGCAAATTCAAAATATTCACCCTGATATTATTTTGATTTCTATGAGCTTCATACATTGAAATACAGTAAAGCTGATCATTAATAAGGATGCTTTATTTCCTCACTGTTCACAGGATGTTTGCTCCTGTGGGGCCCAGATGAACAAGCCACCTCTTGATCATGAGGATTGAAATGAAATGCTACTGAAGGGCCAGTGATCAGTGTGAGCAGCTCAGGGCCTCTCCTCTGATCAGTGCATGAAATTAGGGATTAAAAAGCCTCTGCAGAAACAAAGTAATCACGCCTGCTTATGTCGCCATACGTGTCCAACCTGCTCCCGGTTGCAAAGAGCATAATGGAATGCATCAGCTAACATTTAGCTCTGAGCTACACAGGGACCAGTTCCAGTGGGGCCATGGTGTGTCACTGGTTTCCCCACGCTAAGTGGAAGTTCTTCTGGCTAATGAGCAATAATCAACATTGACTCCTCTTCTTATTTATGGGGTCCACGCTGTGGGAGTCTCAGGGGCAACACTGTGACACTGTAACCTACTAAAAAAAAAACCAGTAATTTCTTTAACAAGAGGCTGGAAAATAGAGAAGTGGGGCAGACTTTGTACATGCTTGAAAAATATGAATTAATCTAAAAGCAATTTTCAGATTAAAATTATAAAGCATTCTCTTTCAGCTGTTTTTAAATCAGGGACATACAGTGTTATCAAAAAACTGTTGTTATAATGCAAAAAAAAATGTACATTTCCCATCTAATCACATTTCCTGTGTTGTCCTGAGCACTTTTACACACTCCTCAGTACTCTAAGATTACACCATGTACAGTGGTGGGAAAGTAATGTGCTGTTAACAGCCATTTGGAGGGGGAAAATCTGAGAAAGATGGAATCATTAAAAAGAAATCTAATCTGTCTTTCAAGGCCCTCATTGATCCAGGAGAAAGTGGACTGCAGGACCAGGCGGCTGAAAGGGTCCGGCCGATGGAGCCATCACAGTATCATGTGTGAATGGGGAGAAACCGTGGAGTAAATAAACACTAGAGCGGCCCATTGGAGAGGGCCAGAGGTGCCCTATGAAAGAGGAGGCTGCTGCAAATAAAGGGGGTCAATCTTGTGTTCACCCCTTCAGTCATTGTAGCCCCGGCAGCACCAATGCCACCACCACCACCACCACCACCACCTCCTCCTACCTTCACCCCCAGGCTGGGACTGCTGTGACACACCCCCTCCTGCCACAGAGACAGACAAATGTCATCTCCTTTGTGGACCTAGTCAGGCTTAGAAGCGGCCCACTGTCTTTGTGCGGTGGACTAATCCTTTTATGAGCCACTGTCGACTGCGCCCCCACCCAGTGCTCTACCCGGGAAAAAGGGGGCTGCTCTTTTTCCAAGCAACTCGGTCTGAGTGTGTTGGCTGACCGCAGGAGAAGCAGGGATCTGCTCTCAGGGAACACATGTCCCACACACCACATACTTCCATACACAGGCTTACAGGCCGCCGCACTCCACAGCAACTTGTTACAGCGGCCGCACTCTGGAGCTGAAAGGGGAGAAGGTGGAAAGCTCAATTTTACCCCCTGCCTAAGATATGCGACTTCTGTGTCTCCTGCATGTTTTATGGCACATTCATTATTGAGAATGTAATTGAAAGTGAACCGGCAACATGTTAAAGAATAGCCAGGGAGCAGGGTGAGAGGGGTTGTTGTATTTCCTTGCTCTGAGCAAAAGGACAAAAGGCCCAGAAGGAGTGACACTCTCTGGGGCCGAGGCAGGAGAGAGGGAGGGCACTGATTTCATGCCTTTTGTTGACGGAGGTTAGAGAGAGGAATTCTTTCACTGAATCCGAAAGGCAACAAGTGGGGTAGGGGGCGACAGGCCGACGGGCCAGAGGGAGAGGCGTAGAGGCTTTTGCCGTTCAGCCAGCTGAAAGATTGTGCTTTTCTCAGCCCCCTTCAGATCTTCAGACAGGCCCGAGTTACAGGGCAATTATGGAAATGCAGCTTTGAAGCCGAGCATAGCCTCCTTTCAGTTCCTCCTCGGGACAAAGCAAAGGCAATACCAGCTTTTTATGCACCCTGCTCTATAAAACATGATCCAGCCCTAATATGCTCTGAACTTTTCTACTCTAACTCACTCAATATTGTAGTTAGTGTTGACATTTCTGAATATGTTAAACCAGAGTGTAAAAGAAAACAATCAGAACTTTGTTTTGTTTTGGAATAAAAGTGAAATTAAAGCAACATTTCTCACATACTTGCAGGGAAAAAAGCTGCATTCTCTCATTGCATTACCATGTCAACCTGCCGATGGAGCATTTTCCAAGAAGATGAGCGCACAGGGGTGGGTGAATATTTACAAAAAAAAAAAAACACTTGTGTCCAACAGCTGTGCGCTTTTACCAGCCTGATGCCTCCCCTCCGCACCCTTTCCCCTCACACGTCACTAACAGAGGCCCAGCAAAACCAGCAGGGCTATGCTTTCTCAGCTTTGTACATTAGTCAGCGGTGTAGCACAGAATTTCACCACCTTGTGTGAACTAATAAGACACATTTTCTCTGTCTTTTGAGAGGATCGCAGGAGAGTGATGTCTCTACATCACGGACACAGCAGAGGCCTTGTACAACAGTGCCTTTACACTCCGAGTATATCTGACAAATGCCAATAGTCTGGCTTTCACTCATCACTGTTAATGAGAGGACATATTTAGGACGTTTCCAATATTTGTACAGACTCCATACATTATGAGGGCTCTTTTATTCACATGACCAGGCGGGGAGGACAAGCGCGGCATAGGGTGGGGGTGTATTCTCGACTTCTCGGGATTGGCTGAGT